CTCATTGGAGTTACAGGGTTAAAGCAAAGCAATTCTAATTGCTACTTAATTAATTAATATTTAATTATTAATTTCACCCTTGAATCTGTAGTTGCCTGATTTACTGTTTGTAGATCTGCTACATCAGAACTGCTGTGACAGGACATTATGTTGTAATGAAGGGTTAGATAATTATATGCTATAATTCTAAAAAATGTCAAAATTTCTCAAATAACTTTTCAATTTCACAGGGTTCGTGTAGAGCACTATGTCCATGACAAGTCATTTAAAGAAAGAGTTAAATTCTATTTTGTAACTGATCAAAGATCTAGTAAGTGATATTAATAACAAGAAATCAAATCACTCTTGACTTATTAATACATGCATTAAAATTAACATTAATTTCATTCAGTACTTTCTCGTGACAATTAATTGTGTCAGTTCTGCATATAAATTACACTCTTTTCTAACTTGAATATTTTCACCCAGCTTGTATATTGATTCCTAAATCAGCAATCTGATTTGATATTGATAAAAATACCTAAAAAAATTAATTGCTAGTCTTCTTACTGGCTTCATCCTTAAAATGAAGTGAAGCAAAAAGATTGTCATCAGGGCACTTCTCATGTGATCAGATCATCATTTTACTACTGACACTACTTTTATCAGCAACTAAACCTAGCTGGATTGAAACTGGATTGAATATTAAACTGAATTATGTGAGAATTGCAGAAACTTTAAAAATGTAAATGGAAAAAATGATATGTTAACACAAGTTCCAATCCAAAATTCTTTAAAAGTTTAAGAGGTTAAAATAACCCACTAAAGGTTAACAACACATGTTAATTAAGGACAAAAACTATACCTTGTTTCATCAACCTGTTTAGTTTGATATGTCCACCTAAAATTTATCCCAGTGTTAACAGCTTTGATCAATTGCTTAACCAGGTATAAGATGGCAGATATTTCGCTTCATCCTGAAGATAGTGTCATGTGTATTGTATGTTGTACGAGGCTGCTATGATTTAGATCCAAATCGAGCTGGTGGGTAAGTACATGGCCATTTATTAGTATTTTACTTAAAGAGTTTCAAACAATAATTATCTTCTTCACTTGTGAATAAATGACTTATTTGATCTTTAGTCAAGGTTCTAATCTTTAAAGGAGTGCTTGAACAAGGCTGTTTAAAAGTGGAAAAAGCCCTCTGTTGCTTCTAGGGAATACAGTCAAACCTTTAATAAGCAGTCACTTATTACAGGTTTTTTTTTATACACTTGAAAGCACAATGCATGAGGATTTGAGAATTTACTTTAATTATTGCATAATATTGATTAAATGAAACGTATTCCTTTTCACTTTTGGGCCATTAATATTCATATTTCTGGTCATCCAAACTCTTAATTACCTGTAGTACTCAGCCCAGTCCCTGTGGGTCAATATAATTGAGGTTTGACTGTACCATCAGTAATGACTTCAACTTTTACCAATGTGATAATGATTGCACTTACTTGTTTTTTTTTTTATTTTGACCTCAATTAACAGATCTGGTTGTCCAGATAACAGAACTGCCAACCGTGAGTGGGCTTGTCCTGTATATCATGAAGGAGAGAAGTAAGGTTTTATATTCTGTATTTTGCTTTAAAAAGAACATACTTGAGTTTCATACATCAGGGCATTTAGTACAGAATTTATTCGAAGGAAAATAGGGTTCACCCTTTACACCCTAACATCAGTATTCATATTCTCCATACTGTTCTCTGTACATTTACCAAGGTGCTGACAAGGAGAATTTGTTTAACAATTAAAAGTTTCTTTTTTAGTTGGCGATCATTTACTTTATTCTCAGGACATTAATTGCTGTGATTCAGTTGGTAATTTGAAAGGAGAAATTAGATGTTAGTCACTCCTAGGGGTTAAGGGGTTAAAGGACAGCCAGGGGAATACTCTTCTTGTCTAAATTGAATTGTAGCAATTACAGGGCTTAAAGGTCATTTTTTCTAAAAGTCACATTGTGGCGGGGCCTGTCATTGTAATATGGTGGCCAGAAAAAAAAAGTTTAGATGCTAAAGAATAAAACATCATATCAATGGGAGGACACTTCTTGTAGTATTACATAGACTTGTAGTGAGAAAAAGAAAGGTACAGGTGCAACACTTTCAAATGTTTCATTTTTTTTTTAATTTTTTGGTCACCAATTGGCTGCTTTTGCTGAAACTTTAGTTCCTGAATATATTTTTCACTTGGCATGGTGATCAAAATGGTGACAGCTTGCAGCGCTGAATTCTAGAATATTCTCTGATCCTCTGATCTCTGATGTTTAATTAATATCTTAGGGCTTTGGCATAATAGCATCTACTATTTCTCGCTCTTGCAGTTATTGGTGGTCATTGCTATGGGTTGAAAGACCCCCTTTGATATGGATTGTACAGGTAGAAGTGGAATTAGTGTCAAAATCTTAGCAACTATGCACCTACCCCTCACCTAACCCAATATCAACCCTAACTTGTTATCAGTGGACTGTTTTTGGGTTAGGGGAGGGTAAGGTGTGCAGTTTCTCAGATACTGACATTGATCCTACAAGTGTATGTTAACCAGTTACATTCTTCTGATCTGGTCACATGACATTGGTAACCAGGCTGGTTTAGTTGGTGGAATACAGTTTTCCTACTCTTCAATTGAGACATATCAGCCTGAAAACTAACAATGCCAGGGAAAATTTAATGTTGGGTTACTAAGAGAAAGATGGTATGTCCTCTCAAATTTTATCTTCTGAAATGGAGCTGAAGTGCCCATACCTAAAACTCCCTGTTTTCAAACTTTACTGGACCAACCTACATTCTCATTGAAACACATATTCATCATTTAAATGACGGGAGAGCAGTGAGGGAAGATTGAGATTTTGAAAAGTTGAGGCAAGCCATGTCTATCAGGCTTATATGGGGAGGTTCTTAATATGTCAAACTTTCCAATTTACAATGTATGGCGTAAAGACTTTGAGTGAACATGAAAACCACAAGGAGCCAGGTGGAACTTGAAGCCAGTCAACGTCGCTGGATTATTTTCTTTGTTTGATTTGCAGACAATCATTGCAGTGTACAGTATACTGGAAGCAATCTTGCTTAGTTATTTGACCTTCAAGGTACTGTCAAGTAATTCTCCATATTAATGCACATGATTTGAAAGACATTTGATTTGTTACTCATCATGCAATGTTTATTTATCATTTATTTCCTTTTTTCCTAATTTGTAGGGAGGTTCTGTCATTGGTCAAATTGTAAATAGTCGTGTTATTGCTGAGATTTTGCTAGGAATGCCTTTCTTAATATCTGTAAGTATTATTTATAAATGTATAAGAGTTGTCAAAAATATTTGAAGAAATCTGTCCATTTTTCATAAAGATTTGAAGTGTTTGTTTTCATTGAAATACTTTGCTTACTAAGCTAACTAACATTCTTTTGTAGATATTTTATAGCAGACTAAGAAATTTGTGGGTACCTCTGTTTTTGAATATTTGGCTTGCCAAGAATGCATTAGATGCAATGCTTGTAAGTATAACTGATTATTATAGGGAAGAACTTTGCATCCTTTGCTAATTTTAACTTGATGAACACATGTTCATTCATAACATGCACCTACATGTACATGTTTGTGCTCGTGCAGAATTGACTTTTTTCGTGACCCTTTATTGCTTTATAGAATGATCTTCACCGACTAGCTCTGCGCCAGCAGTCAGCAGTATCCCAAAAGGTTCTTGTAGTGGTTGGAACTGTGTTATGTATATTATTTACTGGGTAAGTCTTAATGATAAGGATGTTATCACCTTAGAAGTTATCAGTTTGGTGTGGGAAGAAATTTAAATATTTCTGGATTGAAAATATGATACAATTTTTTCTGTACTGTAATTGCCTTTACAAATGAATAAATTATTCAACTGTTCATATTACAGAATATGTGGTATTCATCACCTTGAGAGACCTGCTTCACAGTGGAGTTTTTTTGTGTGTATCTGGTTTGTGATGGTGACGTTTAGCACAGTGGGCTATGGTGAATACACTCCAAGTGACTGGCCAGCACAGACATTTGTTATGATAATGATTGCCTGTGCTATCATTATGCTACCTATTGAGGTGAGGATCTGTTGAGGGAGTAAGGGAACACAAAGTTGTATGGTTTAATTGTGTACTGATAAGTGGAGAATTGTCTCGCAGATGGTGTGCATTGCAATCAAGTGTTGCAAAACCAAAAGTGCTCACAACAGGCAATTAGGAACAAAAGAAAATGTCTCTAAGAGCAGATAAAAACTTCAAGTTAAAACAAGATAACTGCGTCAAGTGCAGGAAAACAGATGCAGCAAAACTTGTATTGCTTAATTCCGATTAGTGGAAGATGTGGTGCATTTTTTAAGACCAATTAAAATGCGTAGCAAAAACAATACCAGATGAAACTTAGGCAGATTACCTGATTGTGATTGAAAATTTGTCCATTAGATAAACTGTACATTACAGACCCTCTGATGGGTGGTTGGTTTTGATATGTCAGGGTACACAGCAGTTGTAGTGCAACAAATTGGTGCTGAGTTTTGAAAATGTTGATGAGATATTTCCACATTTAGCAATGGAAAGCCTTGCTGATTAGATGGTCACCTCTGGCTTGAATATCCATTTTTTAAATACATTTTGACACCACCTAGGATGATCTGTGATCTATAACTGGACAAACACTTGGCAAAATAGAATGCATTCCCTGATTCAGTCCCTTAGTAGCTAACAAAGTCAGAAGAAATACAGAAAAGCTTATAAAATTGCTTCATATAGGAAAATTCTTTCAGTTTGCCCCTAGGCAGTTACTGAAAAATAAGAAATTTAGCCTAGATGGGCTTCTTGGGAGTTACTTCAATTTTTGTTAAAGTGAAATTTAATTTGGTAAATTATCTCTGAAATTAAGTTTTGGCAGTCTTGAGGGTACTCAGGAGAATTTAGAGCACTGGTAACCTTATCAGTCTATAATGATTGCTGTAAATTTAATTTTACTTTTTTTCTTAATTTTTTTGAAATTTTGAATTCTTTTCTTAGTTGGAGCAGCTGGCTTTCTTGCTGGTTTCTCGTCAGAAAGAGGGTGGTACATTTAATCGCATGCTGGCTGGTTCTGAAAAACATGTGGTATTATGTGCAACAATACTCCGGCCAACTATGCTGATTGACTTCTTGAATGAGTTTTATGCTGATACCAGATTGCAGGTTTGTTCATTTTCTCTATTAGTTTAATGACTGCATGTTCAATGAAAGATCTGAAATTGCTGGTAAATTAAATAAATACAAGCATAGATCAGGTTCCCTCTGTGGTCTGCTGCTGCACAACTCTCTCATTGTTCTCTTTGCAGATAGTTTGTATCCACGCTTCTGGGATTTTAGTTTCACTGTCCTTGTTGATTTTGTTAGGGTGAAGTCATGTGTGAATTGCCAATTGACCTCATTGCCTGAAGGGGATTAGTAGCATTCAATCGCGATCCACATCTGAAGTGACCACATCATGAAAGAAATTATTATATTCCCCTTTTTGAAGTGATCTATAGTTTTTGTAAGCAGTGTGTCATGATACATATTAAGTCCAGGATCATAGATAAAATTAATGACTTTTCATATTCACTGGGTTCACTTGTGATGGACTGTTCTGACTAGAAAGCTAAAAAAAGTTACTAAAGTTATGAGCTATTAAGCCTTCATTGTAGCTTTTGCTGTTGTCTTATAGGATGCCCATGTGGTTTTACTCTGTCCATCAGAGCTTGACAGCACACTGAGAATTCTCCTACAGGTACCCCATTGGTCACAGAGAGTCACGTTTTTAAAGGGATCTGCACTCATTGATGAAGACCTTATAAGAGCCAGGTAAGAAAAATTGCTTAGATGTGTACAAAGTACAAAGGGTTGAACTCACGGCAACTAATCATCAGTCCAGTGAAGAGCAAGTTGGGGGGTTGAAACCCAGGACCACCTGGTCACAAGTCCAGTGCCGCAGTGCCCCAGTGCCCAGTTATACTCTGGTGAGCCTATTTATTGCCATATTGCTATGTTTAATTTAATTTTATGCTTTATTCTTAGGGTTGAGGATGCTGAAGGATGCTTCATCCTTACTGACAGATATGCAGATGACAGAGAGGCTGCTGTAAGTTGGAATGAGGATCATGAATGGTCAATTACTGTCCTTCTCTTTCTGTCTAATTTACTTGCAAGTTAAGCAAGTGATGAGAAATACTTTAGTCCTTTTGGCAGAATATTTTGGTTTTATGGTCATGAAAATTCCAAGGAATTAATGAATGTTTCTTCCTAAGTGATAGAGAAATCTCGTAGATCATCAGCCCATTTTTATGTGAAGGTACTGTGATGTGGATGTTGTGAATGAAACATCTGATCTCTTTTAGGACAAGCACACCATTTTGAGGACATGGGCTATTCAGGACTTTGCTCCTGCTACTCCATTGTATGTACAGATCCTCAAGCCAGAGAACAAGTTTCATGTCAGCTTTGCAGGTTAGAGAATAGATATTCCCATCTTTTGAATATTTAATTTAAAGCCATTGTTTGTGGATTTGAGCATCGGTTGGTATGAGAGCACAGTGCCTGTAACCTTTCACAGTTGGTAACTCTTTCAATTGATATTATTGTGTTAATGTCATTTTCAGAGCATGTTGTCTGTGAAGATGAAGTGAAACATGCCCTCTTGGCTAGTAACTGTGTGTGTCCAGGAATTTCCACATTTTTCACTCTACTTCTTCACACCCTTCATGAACAGTAAGTGAGATATGCACTCTTATTGATTATTCTTACCCTGGAATGTGTGAAGAGTTTCTGGTTGCCTGCTTGCAGTTTTCAACAACATTACCATCGTGTTTTTATTCTACTCACTGAGTGGATTGATGCATATTACTAATCCTGCCTGTAATTTTTTTGTCAATTAGGAGTGGATCAGAAGATTGGCATGAGATGTATGGTAAATGTGCGGGAAATGAAATTTATGACATCCGCCTGGGGGACAGCAAGATCTTTAGACCATATGCACAAAAGACATTTATGCATGCTGCTTTTCATGCACACAAGAAGTGAGCAATGACTTTTTTTGATTACTGTGAAGCGGTAGTCCTCAAATTTTTATCATGTGAAACAGGGAAGTTCCAGACAACTCTTTGGTCAGTTGTTTAAATGGATTCTAACTTTTGTCAGGGTTTCAGACAATCAATGAATGTGAAGATTTCTTTAGAAGTGGACGTTTCCACCATTTGCAAACTTTTCTCTTCCAGGTATGGTGTGACACTCTTTGCAGTTCGTTCAATTGGAAAAGGTTCTCGTATTCTGTTAAATCCTGGTCCAAACCACAAAATGAGTACTGAGGATAGATGTTTCTACATCGCCATCTCCAGTGAAGAAGACACAGCATTTAAAGCCTACAAAGAGCCAAAAAAGTCAGTCAGTTTATTTAAGGGAAGCTTTAGGCACAAGAACGATTCATTTATCACTGCAAGCTCTGTGGCTCTTGAGCTGAATACCGACTCTGTTGAAGCAGGTAATACTCAGAAGTCACAACATGTTCATGTTCTAAATTATAATCGATCAGGTGTTCTGAAGAAAGGATATTACTTATATCAAAATGAGCATACCAAGATACACATTCAGTATATTTTGTTTTGAGGAATGAAAATATAGCATTATTACCTTCTTTTGTAAACAGGGAGTTTCAACCTTGAAATGTCAAGAGTATTTCCCAATTGACAATGCCCCAAACCTATGTGGAGTTGTGCCATCAAATTGATAGTACTTGTTACCGGGGATATTCATTTGATGTCTATTGTTTCATTTTTTGGTGTATCTCCTCTAAAAATACCACTTATTATCATTTGGGATGCTTTCCATTTTTTTTCTCCTTATGCTTTTTTCTCCAAGTATGAAGTGTGATTTAATATTGTTTATGTTCGGGAGCTATGATGACCATTTTCACCCAAATGGGATAGACTTTGGGTCTTGTCTGCAATGCTGATGAAGGCTTTACTCTCATATTAGTGGGGATTTTGCAAGGGGACACATTGATCTCTCTAATTGTTACATCCACAGGCAAACCAGCACACTGCAATTCCATTTGAGTAATCAGATAGTTGCTAGTATTCTCTTTTAGAAACAATTGTTATTTTTTCTTAATCTTTATGGTGACTTTGGGTGAGCTTAGACCATAAAATATTCATTGATGAAATTTCTAACCAGTGGTTTAAGTTTATGGTAATGGCCACAGATTGACCAGATTTGACTACAGCCTTACCATTCTTCTCCAGTAGGACTTAAGTACCTAGAGGAGGCTCCTGCTAATGGTGTTGGACATGCCAGCTCCACTGATCAAGTGACATCATCTTCATCAGTCAAACTAGAACAGGAAACTTCTTCCATGAAACCATCACGAGGATTTAAAGAAGTTGTTTTTGACATAGCAGACTCAAGACGATCATCAAATTCTGTGTATGTACCCAATGAATCAGATTCCGAGGAGGAAGAACACGAAGAACAGGAATTTGGTTTGCTGGATGACACCAGTAGGATACCCAGGTAATAAATAGAGGATATTTTTCCTGTTATGATACTGGTAGGAATTTCTTATGTATTGTGTAATGTTTAGTTATTTGAATTTCCAGCTGCCATTCTCTGAGGAGGATTTTGTTTGTTTTGTTTAGTTTTGTTTTTGACATGCAAATCCCAAAGCAAGGTCTTGACAATTTATAAGTTCTTGTAATCAGGGAAGGACGAAGCTGGATTGTGATATCTAACTGGAGAGGGAGAAAACCCGTCTTCCACTTGGGATAATAAAATATTGCGTTACATTTGGCAAGCTTCACATTGAACTTGACTGTTTTCCTTTGCTAGCTATGTGGCTGGAGTTCCTCCTTGTTCTTTGTATATTGGTCGCACTCCTATCAGATGTCATCTTCTGAAAACTCCTAAAAAAGTCTGCTGTTTAGGGCTCAGAAATGAGGTAAGCTTTATGATCTAGCTGAACTAAATGCTTCTGGAACGGGCTTCATGTGATTAATGAGTGTCAGGGTTATTTAGCCCTATTTCTATAAAAGTTATTGTAACTTCGAATACTTTAAATTATAAAACTATTTCTTGACGAATATTTTTGCTTTTAGGAATTCGTTTATAATTCCTCCTCGGGAGGGTTTAAGGGAAATGAAACAGGAAATAAAAGAATAACAGTAACTCGAGGAACAGGTCTTATTTAACTTACCGCACTCAAATTTTGCGGGAAAATCATGTGGATTTTGGGATTTGTTTTCAGGCCTGTTTAGACCGTGATCTGAATGACAGTGCCAGATTACATCAGAGACAAAAGGGAGCTATCATTGTGGCGTCACCTGTAGCCGAAGCTGGATTGTACAACTTTATTTTGCCCCTCAGAGCTTATCAGCGGCCCAAGTGCACCCTTAAACCCATAGTACTTCTCTTGAAAGAAGAGTAAGTGCCAGTTTATGGTATTTTATATAATAAGCTCAGTTATGCACGCATTCTGATTGGTTCTCACTTATGATCTATTGGAGGACAGACGTATAGATGACGTCATCATCAAAACTTTTTAAAATTCTTTATTAAACAAAACAAATAGATTCCAAGTTGCCGTGCGTCTGTTCAGTAACAGATCACAGAGGACGTCAAAATGTAGTAAGAACATCAGTGACACACTCGGCTGCGCCTCATGTGCCACTTATTTGTTCTTACCACATTTGGACGTCATCTGTGATCTATTACTGAACAGACGCACGGCAACTTGGAATCTATTTGTTAAATATACAATAGCAGCCACGACTTTTGGCCTGAATGTATTGGAGAAAAAAGAAATCGAGAAACAACTTGTTTTTTTTATCTTTACTGTCACCACTGTAGTTTTGGATTGATTCGTTTCTGACTGTTTTTATTTAGATTCTTTCTTACAATGAATCACTTGGTTTGAAAGAGCTACAAGGGGCATTTTCATTTTTTTTTTCTTTTGACCCTTTAACCTCAAAGAGTGTCTGGCTTCTAATTCTCCCAACAGTATTACCCATAAATCAAATGTAGAAGTTATGAGAGTGAAGGAAATGATCACCTATCTAAGAAGCTCTTGATTGTCAAACAAATTCTCCTTACTAGCGCCATAGGAAATGTGAAATGAACAGTGTGGAGAATATGAATGCTTATTTAAGGGTGGAGAGGGTTATTCTTGCCCCTTCCTTTTCGGTTTACTCTAATATTTGTTTAGGTTCATTAAGCAAACTGTCGTCTTGACATTTACTTCTACTGAGACAAAGTTCTCGTTGACACTGCAATTGATTCGAGTCGTAGCTATTACCTGGTCTGTTGACAAATCATTAAATGTTTATTGATAATTATGATAAATATCATATTTTTACGTATTCTATTTTTTTGGAATACGTCACAAATGTACATGAAGCTACAGTTCACAGCTTATTCGAAGGAAACCTGCGTTTAATCTACAGGCCCAGTGAAGACTTCTTAATGGCTGTGCGTCACTTTCCCATGCTGTATTATATTCAAGGAACCATAAATAGGTAAGAAAAATCCTTTGAGCTGCAAGTCGACAGAACCTCGTTTATTTGCTTAAAATGGAAACTTTTTATTTGTTTCACTTATTTGCTGTCTTTCTGCTTTTAATGCGAAAGGTTAAATTGAATTAATGATAAATAATTTACTCGTTAGAACACCGTTTGAGTGTTGCAAAACTCAATTCGAAAGAAAATATGACTTGTGGCCACTGGGAACTCATATCAAATACAGTTCATGTAAACAAAATTTCGTGTGGGAAAGCAAGAGTGAACAATTTGCGATTGATTTAGTTTTGCCACTCAGATTGGTCGAAAGGATGGCGCGAGTTTTGTAGACCAATCACAGACCGTAGTGAAGCAAAACCATTGCATCCCTGAATTACTTTTGATATTACTGTATTGAAAATTACTGAATGATTTGCTTTCAGTTTGGACGACCTTCTCAAGGCTGGTTGCCTTCATGCGGACAGTATAGTAGTTGTAGGTTATCGATCTCAAGGCCAGATGTATGACGAGGAGCACATGGCAGATGCCAGTACCATCGTAGAAGTGCAGAGCATCTACAGGTATGAGACAGTTGTACGTTATCGTGATCAATATCAGTATCTGGGCAACTGCCCACCTACCGCTCCCCTAATCCAACATTAACCCTAAGTTGTTATCAATTGACTGTTGTTGAGTTAGGGGAGGGGTAGGTGGGCAGTTGCCCAGATACTCAGATACTGATATTGATCCCGTTATTGTGTACTCTTGCTACAGAATATTAAGGCCAAAGCATTTTTTTAATTGCGTTTCTAGCAACTGAATGGATCCTAGCTAAGACGGACGGTTAATTTTGAGCGTTGTTATGAAATAACAATGTGATATGCCCTGCCACAAGCATGGGACAAATAAAAAATTCCGATTCCTCTCAGAGGAATCGCATCCTGGACCTTTCGCTCTCTGATGCTCTACCTCTGAGCTACAAGGAACTCCACAGCTGGCCGGGCCTTAGGCCTTAATCGTACTTTCTCTTTTCTTGGCTGGTGGTTTATGCGTTGTCGCACCACGACTTTCTAACTTCAGTGAAGCTTCTTACCGGCTTAAGAGATTATTGACGACTAGTTTTGCCAAGGGATTGAAAAGCTAAGCGGCTGAAGACTTGCATTGAAACAATTTGCTCCAAAACCTTTTTGTCCTTTGCGCTTGTGTCCTTTGCACTCAGTGATATCCTTTGCGCTTGTGTCTTTTGCACAGAAGTGAAGAAGACTTTGTGTGAGTTAGAAAATTTTCTCGCTAACGCTGAGATAATTGAGAAAGTATGTAAGTCGACAACTTGTGGTGAAACAGATTTTTCCTTTGGCAGATGTTTTCCAAGAGCGACTCTGATTGTGGAGCTGACACATGCGTCCAACATGCGCTTCATGAAGTTCAATGCCGATGTAACCCTACCTCCTGGATTACAAAGCGAATCACTTGCTAGTTTTAAAACACGGAGCTTCAGAGAGAGTGTCAAGGTACTTTAATAAGTCCTTGAGTTAAAATGCTAATCGTGATTCATCTCTGTTGTTTGAATATTTTGACTCTAAAGTCTTTGCTCAAGCTTGTGAAGTTTGAAGCTCCCCGTGATTGTTTTTTTGTTGCAAAATGCAGACCACCTTTGCTTGGGAGAGAGAAGAATTTGTCCATTTGTCTTCAGACCAGGTTTTAGATTTCGCCGAGTTGTTCCATTAATTTGCATTAGTTTATCATTGTAAAAATTAGTTAGAAATTTAAGAGGTCTCTTGGAAATGATTGGATTAATGCTGGGACCCTTAAAAGTAAGTCTTACAGGTGAAAAGATAGGTCCGAAAAGTGAAATGAGACAGTTCAGTAAACGGTTGACTAAGGTATTAAGCACAATCAAATGACAAAGTACAGTTTTAGTTTTTCTCTGAAACTCATTTATGTAACTTTTCTATTTAGAGGAGAATCAAACAGCAGAATAAAGACCATTTAAACTATATGTTCCGTGAACCCTTTGCTGCCGGTCACGTGTTCAGCATGAGCATGCTGGATACCCTGCTGTATCAGGTCTGTATGTTTTCTTGGTTATTTTTCATCATTTGAATTTTATGCAATCATTGTAGAAACAATTTGTCAATAAGCCATGGGCGACGTCAGTGATATTCCACAAGGAGGCTTAGTGTAAACTTTTTCTTGTCAGATGAGACTTATTTACGTTATACTAGATAAATATTTTATATCAATTGCTTTGGGCTTTCCTTTGGTTAAACACAGAGGCATTAGACATCACAGAAATTTATTATTTTATTTTAAAAATTTGTGGTTTGAAATTCATTGCGGAACCCTTTTATCAAGGAAATGTAGGAAAGTTGAACAAGAGACTGAAGAAACTTTCGCAGTTTGGCAAAATCTTCTAACTTAAAACTGTTGCAAAGTTAAGTAAAGCAGAACTAAGTAGCTATATGTGGAAAAATAGAGGTCATAAACTTACTGGTGAGGCCGAAGGTATTCTTGGGGGCGTCGGCAGGATTCTTTTGTGGGTGGAGGGGTGGGGAGAGCTCATTACGCTTTTACTAGTATTTCAAGGTATGTCAGGTCTGTCAGTATTGTCTTGACATAAATGGTAATATGCACAACAAAACAACACCTTCCCCCTCGTTACACCCCTGCTTGTATCACCAATGTGTGCTCGATGTTAACCCGCCTACTCGTTCATTGTAGGCATTTGTGAAGGAATACATGATCTACCTGGTCAGACTTCTGTTAGGCTGTGAACAATCGCCTGGATCAGGATATCTCTCTTCAGTAAGGGAACGTCAAGCGGAAAGAACTCTTAGTTTTATGTTGTTATACATACATTACAGTGTGTTTCAGTCAGCATTGCATAACGCTTTTGAAGAGATTTTCGTTTCAAGTCTCCCACGCTCAAAACCAACTCAGGTAGATCAGAATAATTTCCATGAACCAATGAAAACTCGAAGGAAAACAAGCAAATAACCATTAGTCAAGTTTCGCATTTGACTGGTCGAGGAGGTTGCTTAAGTTTGTTTAAACTAGTCACAGAGTGATGAAAAGCAAAACAAGTGACATCCTAGATTATATTCACCACTTTAACTGAACTGACTGCTCTTAAAAAACATGACATGGTTGAAATTAACCTCAGCCGAAAATGAAATAGTGTTTTAAAAGCACCAGCCTTGTAACATCGACATTGCATACCAGACGATGCAAATTTCTTATAACTGTTGAGACGCGCTTTTTATGTTTTTCACCAGCTGAAAGTCACTGAAGATAATATTTGGATCGAAACGTATGGAAGGCTTTTTCAGCGACTTTGCTCGACAACGTTTGCCATTCCTATTGGCCTCTATCGATCACATATTCCAGAGGTAATTAAGAACTTATGGAGTACAACGCGGCACCTGTGTTGACTTACATTGCTTTGCTGTCACACTAGTTGTGAAGGTTTAGGACCTCACCTGAAAGATCATTTACCCATTGCTAACAATGAAAAAGATTTGCGTATTTGTCTCTTAATAAATCCTCAATTCTTGAAAGATCATAGATCTTTTTGCATAACTATTTTTCCTCTCCCAAACAACGGGTGCAACGAAGACGAAATACTTTGCTTGCATTTGGATAAAATTGACTCTTCTACCAGCAACGTATGCTACCGTTTCCGTCTTTGTGTTGTTACTCAGGAGGACAGTGTTGATGCCTTCCCAAGGATGAGAAAGAAGGAGACTAGGGACATCTCGGACATCATCGAGCACAGGATGAAAGTTTTGAACATCACTGGAACTCGTAAGTTGAGGCGTATACAAAGTGAGGGGGGGGCTGGGGCGATCTTATGGTCTCATTGTCCGGGTTAGGGCAATTTGTAAAAGGACTTCTGACATTCTGACAACCACAGCAAAAGTAGTTGTCAGATTCAAGGAAAGACGTGTCTGTTACAATCTATGCGACTCTGTGGAATCCAGATGAATTGTTTTTTGTGTTGCTTTGGATGGAAATTATTCTTTTTAGCAAATTTCTACACAATAGGAGCTAGCTATCAAGGCTTTCATAATTATTAGTATGTGTTATCATTTTTTTTTTTATCACTGTGACAATTGGAGATACCTTCGGACAAGTGTCAACCCCAACTTGTGATAGCCACTTATAGTTCCTCCTTCTCCTTTTATTTCTCTGATGGATGGCAAAAGAACATTCTTGTATTTTTTTATGCTACTGATGTCATTTGGTACCTGCAGTTCATTGTGATAGAGCTCGTAAAGTAAATAACTAAAAAAAATTTACCCCGTGAGTACCTCATAGTAAAGATTGTTATACTTTTTTTGCAGCTGATATGACTCACAGGTTAGGTAACTCTTACGTGGTTGTCAACCCCAATCCTGAGTTTCAGTTACAAATCGGTGACATCATGTGAGTAGCAAGAGAACTCTTTCCTGTTTGGTTTCTTTAGATGTAGCCTCGAGATTAGACTACGAACAGCCCGATCCTTATTGTTAACGACGACCGTCGTGCGATTCAAAAACAATTCGCGAAAAAAATTTGATGCTGCTTTTCGTGTGATTCACTTAAGGGACATTCCCGGAGTTCCGCGCAGCGCGATAACATCAATTGTTTTTTCCCTACTGTTTTTATTGACTCGCGCGACGGGCCTCGCCCAAAGGGAAGGACTATTAGTTAATAACTCAGCTCCTCGTCAGTTACGTCACACATTCTTATCTGCGGCACGCATATTACTTTAGGCTTAAGTTTATCTCTGAGTTGTTTTTAACTTGTTTCCTTGCGCAATTACTTATGTCCTTGGGTATAATTCGTTAATAGGATATAAAGACATCAGCTTCCCTGCGATTCGATCGGTCCCGTTATTTTTGTCTCGCCGGTTTAATCAAATGATTTATATAAGCATACTCGCATCCGGTTAAGACACAAGAAATTTTGTCACATTGATTGAGGAAATGTTTGATTGATGTTTGTTCAGCTACCTGATTCGTCCATGCAACACAAGTATGTCAGATACAGAGGAGGAACCTACCGATTCAGTTAGGGTGGACGACATTCCAAGTACTTCTCTGTGAGTGGAATGACAGCCTGCAGTGGGAAGAAATGAGAGCAGCCGCAAGTAGACACAAGTGACGATGTTTCTACCTAATGGGAGATCTCTTTGTGTGTCACAGACTTTGGCCTTGTAGAGGAATTCATCCGTCAATGATGTTGATCACGATGATAGAGCTGTGGTATACTTCGTGCATGTAGCCTGTTTAAAGGGTCTTGCTAGAATGATGTCCGGCAGTGTTACGCAGTCCACAGCACTGAGAACAATGAAATAGACACTAGAAAACGAAAGATGCGAGCAGGAGTTTGAGTGATCTGCCGTGAACAGATCCAAAGTATTCATTGATATCTTATTCCAATTGCGATCCTATAGTGA